AGAAATAACTTGCCTTTATCAAGGCAAGTCACCGAGAGAAGAGAACCTGATGGTTTATTTCGTCGTGTAAGAAAGAAAAATTCCTACAAGTCTGTACTCAGAAAATAGACTTGGGTAGAGGTGCCTTCGAAGACGTTCTCGAAGCCCTCTACAGAGGACCCAGAGGCAGATGATTGACGATAGACCATTTTATCACGTCCCCTTCGGTGACATGGCGCCCGACAACGTGGATTATTCCACTCCCACGACCCAGCTCGACTCGCAGCAGAAGGCTACAACCATTGACTTCAACATGGGTTGAAGTCAAGAGAAGAATAGGGAGAAGCACGGAGTGTTAGAAAGCTATACTCTAACACTCCGACATGGAGGCTTTCTGCAGACCGGATGCCTTCGACGTGCGGGCACCCTTGACGAGCCAGACTTCTTCGAAGTCAGAAGCCCCTGATGCCAATGGAAGTCCAGAAGTAGACCCAGTCATCGCCCCCTACCGAAAGTGGTTGGACGACCACGTAGGCTTCGGCACCCTGGAACTCTACGAAACCCCTGGATATGGCAGATGGGATCCGGACGACCAAGAAGAAGACCAACCCGTCGAAGGAGTTAGCACACCGATCGAGGATGGACCTGCAGGAGCCGGAGATGCCGTCAACACCACCGACCTCCCTATTACTGCTGTGTAGTGAGTTTGCTCAAAGACAATTTTTTTAATTTTATTTACATTTTCATGTATTTCTACATTTCATACATTATTCTTATCTCTCTATACTTAGATTTTTTAATTTTCAATAAATTCTTTCCCAGCCACAGAGTCTCCAGAGGAGGGGGGATGTTCTCGGACGCGACTAGTTCACGTTCGAGACGCATCGCTCCGCCCCGACCTGGAAATCCCTAATCGCTACTGCGGAAAGTATAAAAATAGGCGATTTTCAGGTCAATCAAGTCAGTCCTTCACGGACTCTCCGAGAGCTTAGTGTTCTCGGGGCTCTGCTTTTCTTTTAGCCCTACCTTTACTCTGTGGCTGAGTTATTCTACAATACTTTGGTGTTTTATTTCGACCTTCATTTGGTCATATAAGAAATAACTTGCCTTTATCAAGGCAAGTCTCCGAGAGAAGAGAACCTGATGGTTTATTTCGTCGTGTAAGAAATAACCCGTCTTTTTCAAGACGGGTACATCAGCTGAAATTCCTACAAGTCTGTACTCAGAAAATAGACTTGGGTAGAGGTGCCTTCGAAGACGTTCTCGATGCGCTCTCCCCTGCAGTGACACTATCACCTGTAGGGCTATCATTAAAGTAGACCGGTCACTTTTTATAGGGGCTTTCGCTGGGCTCTGGTTATCCAATCTCTGTACTTTTTGTAATTTAGTACATCTTCTCCAAGAAGGTTTCATATAGAAAGGTCGGCTATACCACTTGCAGGTACATTCTTCGTTTTTGGCTGCTTGGTCCTCCTATATTCGGCTTGATCCTTTGTAGGGTTGGCGTTCTTTCTTCAGTCTTCTGGACTAAATTTTTTAAGTGTTTCGTGAACTTTAGACCTGTGTTAATGTACATGCATAGGTATTTTGGACAGCCTGTATCACACAGGGTCTTCGTCGTAGTACTTTTAGTATGACTACTTCCGTTTTGCTTCCTGTTAGTTCGAGATCGTTTCTAGCCATCCAGCTGTTGACTTTTCTGTAGCATGTATTGACTTTATCTTCAATTTTCCAGTTCATGTCAGTCGTGACTAGTATCGTTGCTAGAGTATCTCTACCATAGTCGATTTCTAGTATCCCGTTATAATATATATTCCAGAGTATTGAACCTAATACGGAACCTTGCGGTACACCGGCTGTTAACATTTGTTCTGTATTTTTTGCCACTGTAACGTATCTTTTAGTAAGACACCTTTCGTTGATATTGACACTCGCGCTGACTCCAGTTTGGTTATGATATGTGCCCAGTTATAGTGTTAAAGGCAATCTTTACATCACATATCACCAGTATCTTTTCTGTAGTTCTTTACAGTATCTGTTAAACTTTTTACACCGTCTATTGCTGATTTAGCTTTTCTAACTCCGTATTGTCTGTTGAAGATGGTCTCTCCTTCACTTAATTCATCTAAAATACTTTCGTATAGTTTTTTTCCCAGAGAATCTAATAAACATATAGGCCAGTACGAATTGGCTTCGTCTGGGTTTTTACCGGGTTTATATATCAGTGTAAGTTTAGCTAGTTTTAGCGGGTCTGAAAATTCTTGTCTTGTTAGCAGCTCATTGCTAGTTCCCTTCTAGTAGCTTATAGGTATTTATTTGCCAGTATTTTTATCGCTTCGGTGCCACATGGTATAATCCAGGGGGTTTACCTATTTTAATGAAATTGAAGGCTCTGGTGAGTTCAGCCGCCGTTAATTCTCTGGCGCAGTTCTCTTGGTTTCTTATGAGGAAGTCGTTTATAGGCTTGTTGGAAAACAGGATATTCGTTATTTTCCTTCTTTTGCCATCGCATAGGTTATATGACTGTATATATACTTATAGGCTGTATGCTTCGCTTCAAATGTTTTTATTCCAGCAGTATAGTATTCTGTATGACATGTTTGCTTTTGTTGTTCGCTTTGTGTGCTTTTATTATATTGTCTCTGTTGTCTAATTTATTAAAGTTGGTAGTTTGTAGGTTCCATATCTGATTTGTGAATTTGTTCTTATCTAACTCGAGTAATTTCCTGCCGTGCCTGGTTTTAACATTGATGCCGACTTCGTATGAGATGTACTTCTGAAATGTAAAGATGTTATCATCAAGCACATCCCATCCCCAGATTTTCTTGGCACAGTTGTTGGTTTTTAGTGTAATGTCTATGTATAATGTCTACAGTCAGATTTGCGGAGAAAATCTATTCGTTCCAAATTTCCTCTCTTTTGTCATTTTTTGGAGACCCCCAAAGAAGGGATTTGGCGTTTATATCACCGACGCTTATATATGTTGTTTCTCGTTGTGACGCCTCTATGAATTTTTTAACTCACTCAGCATATTGTGTCCTGTTTATGTTAGGTGAGATATAACAGGCCACGGTTGATAGTTTATTTATTTTTATCTTTAAAAATACTTCTTTCTTGGTAATTTTGTTTATGCATATTTTTTTGTTCACCAAAAATAAAGCAACGTCTGCTCTGCTATCGTAAATCCAACCGATTTTTTTAGGTATTTTTATGCGGGGACTATGATATCTGCGTTTTTTTTGCAGGGCTTTTGAGTTAATCTCGTCATTTCCCTCCTTTGCTCTTCCAATGTTCACCTGTAGTCTTTAAAGTCCTTTTGTCTGGATGGAAGCCATTTTACGTCATTACAACTAGCTCTTCTACGCCACTAGAATAAGAATTATCTGGGATCAATTGAGTATTTTTCGCAGAGTGTTGTCGGAAGATAGTCCAGACAATACCTGTGCTCCTTTTCTGTCGGACACGGAATTGTTGTTTTTGTTTTCCGCTATGTTGCTAGCCGTTTCCACGTCTCGACGCATACACCCTCGAATTCCTTCATTAATGAGGGGAATTCAAGAGTGTATTCGAGGGTTTGAGTATTTTTAATTATCGGTTGGTGAAAGGGTATTGATAGCGGTTTAGCGGGCACGCTCGCTGTGAGTTCTTTTGCCCGCGTGTTGTCGGCTAGTCGCGCCCTTTAGAGAGCACCACTGAATTCTCGGCGCCGCGCGGTTCTAATGTGGTGAAGAAACCACACCACTCCTCATTTGTGCAGGTGCCGTTCTCCTTACAATACTTTTGTCCGCACTTAAGACAGAGGCCAATACGGTCAGGACTATCGCACTTTGAGATCATGTGTGTAAGACATCTTCTACCTATGTATCTTTTTTCGACCTCACATCTAGCGAGGCCTACTTTAATATATCCTATCTCCAACACTCTTTTGGCCGTCTTGATAGACAGAACAACCGTGGCTGCCAGGTGTCCCCTCGCATCTGTCTTAGACTTTTAATCAGGAATAGTTTTTTATAGTTTATATAGTTTAGAATATTTATAGTTTTTCATCAATGCTTAGGAGAAACAGGTTTAGTGGTCCCAAAAAATAATTAACGAGGAAGACTTGAATATGCAACAGCAGCACATGAAGAGGTTAGCATAATGGAATAATAATAAAAAACATCAAAATAATAATTTTTTAGATACATTTTGTTTACGACAAACCTACATTCACAAAAAATGAAATTTTTAATGTACATAATGCAGAGTAGGAGAAGATATTTAAAAAAACTAATTATAAGGCGCATTCTTCAAAGAGCTCTAGCTCCTTTAGGAATCATTTTCGGACTGTATATATATATATATATATATATATATATATATATATATATATATATATAATATATAATTATTTTTTTCTTTTTGGGTGTGGTAGTCAATAAAAAATAGAGCTTTGCTAAGGCGTACTATTTATTCTGAATCCAACCTTTCGGTGGTTATTTGCCACCTTTATGAAGGTCTACAATGAAAATTACTGTGTTGTAAAAATTTGAAGGATGCAATAAAAAAGTTATAAAAAACTTACCAGCATGTAAGGTTCGTGGCATATACAAACAACGTTAAATAAAATATATGTACTGATTTGCAAAAAGCATTAAAACTGTTTATCGAACTATTTAAACAACAATGGTTCCTCCCACTTTCTCTTCTACTTTAAAATCTACTTTAAAATGCATAATGTATGTCTGAATTGTTAATATAAATGAGTCAGATAAGATTAAATTATTAGAAGAATTTTTCACTATGTAACAAAAAACAAAATTTGTTTAATTTACTGTTTGTATTTTGAGAACGATTTCCGACGTGGAAATTGAAACGTCAATAAATGTATTATTATCTTTAATTGTGGCTTATTAGTTAAATAGTAATTAATTTAAAATGCCACAATAAAATAGCTTCAGAACAATATATACATATGTTATACAGAATTTTTTTTTTTTCATATTTTTATTGGGAATTAAGTTTTGTGTTTTTTGTTTTAGGCAATACATAGAACCTGGTGGGAGAATAACATCACAATCTAGTGAACCCGCAGATAATAAAAGATATTCAAGACAAGAGGAAACGACACGGGTAAGTAATTAAACAAACTTATTTTCCTCATTAGCAGTATTCTGAATTATGTCTAGTGGTATTTCTTCAAAACATTTAAGAGCCTTTTCTTCTAAAAACATGTGAAAAGTAAATTTATAGGTCCGTGATTAATAAATTGAATTATTGTCTCGGCGACTTAGCATTGTCAATAAATTTTTTATTTTCATTAGCTACGGATGAGGGGACCAAAATATGAAAATCTGAAACTTATAATATAGGGACAGATTCAAGGAAGAAGAACTGTTGGCAGAAGGTAGAATTCTTGGTTGGAGTATCAATGCAGATAGTTTCATTTGTTTAGAGGAGCAAGCTCAAAAATAAAAATAGCCATTAAGATTGCCTTCCTACGTACAGCAGCTCTAAATAGATCAGTTGACGTTCGACCAGTCCATTTGCGTAGTCTGTCGGATATTCCTTCAATTTGTGCAGTATTTTTTATATTTTTGTTCCAGTTCCAGTTTTTTTTCAATTGATACCAATTTCTAAATTTTCTCCTGGCATTAGTAAATTTAGTAAATTTTGTCCATGATTAGAGTTGCATTGACCTTGTCGGGTGGTAACAGTATTATGAATTTTTTTTTAGGGCATTGATAGCTTTGAGTTTCTCTTTATTAGTGATATTTCCAGGGTAATAACACCACCCTTAAAATGTGTTGTAGCTACTAGGTACTGCTGGTCTACAAGATCCAGGTCAGGCATGTCAACTTTGAAATGACATAATCAATAACAACATCGTTTAAATAAATGATGTATTCGACCGTTACTTAATGGAAATTTATTTTATGTAACGATAAAACACTGAAAACTTTGTATTTAAAACTTTCTCAAAAATTTATTATAAAATATTATCACTACAGCTGTTTCGACTGATTGCCTTTCTCAAGTGACTACCTTTCTCACTTGAGAAAGGCAATCAGCCGAAACAGCTGTAATGATAAGATTTTATGATAAATTTTTGTGAAAGTTTTGAAAACAGAGTTTTTAGTGTTTTATTGCTACACAAACAACATCTTTGGTTATCAATATTTCTACATAATTGTACAAAAAACCCTTTTTTGCGAGAACGATTGCCGGAGTGGAAATCGAAACGTCCAAATACTAGTTAATTAAACATGTGATTTTCATCACAATCATAACCAATAATTGTGGCTTAATTCCATAAAAAAAACATAATATTTAACTTAACCATGCCACAAGAAAATAGTTCCAGAACCTTGTTTCTATTGTTGTTCTTACTAATGATCATTATTTTAGTCTTATCATAATACTATCTGCCAGCAATACGGTATCGTCTGCATATATAACATTATTTATAGGTTGGCCAATTACTGCAATACCATCTACTCCATCCAAGGCTTCTCTAAAGATGTTTTCAAAGTATATTTTAAACAATGCTGGTGGCAGTATACAAACCTTTTATTGAACTCCTTTTTTGTCGATATTTTCGTAGTTGTGACTGTCACTTGAAGAGTTATTGTGCATGTTCAGAAACTTTGACGCCATAACATAGTATTATTTTAGAAATCGACCTATTCGAATATTTTATTTGTATCTAGTTGTATCTCGAATATTAATATTTAGAAAATTTAAAAGATTGCAAAAGATAATTATATGTAAAGATATAAACAATAGTTAAATTATATTTCGATAGAAACAATACATTGAATTTGTGGTTCTAGGAAAAGCAAAGACCGCCAATTTATAATCCAGAAGATTATGCATACTGGATTAAGAAATGGGGAAAGAAGTCAGGTCATGGCATTATATCTCTTTACACCACATCTAGTATGTCTGATCTAGAAAGTAACTACTCGCAAAGTCACTCCTTCAGGGATTACAGGAATCCAATGCTTAGTTCTTCAGAAATGGAAATGACATTAAGGCAATTTGGAACTGTCTCAGAACTGCTTGCCAAACTAAAGTGTGACCTCAGATTAGCATATCCAAGGTAATATTGTAGTTTTATAATATCCTATTAGTTTTTTATTATTAACCAATGTACAAAAAAATGTCTCTATTTAAAATAAGAATACAGTAAAAGATATCATAACTAAAATACTTTTAAACGAAATAAGACGTATCCAATATATGTAAACAAACAAATTTAAAATAATTCGATATGAATATTGATTCAAGAAGTTGTGTATTGTATTAATATATACAAACTATAAACTACTTATGAAAATTGTGAAGGGCAAATTATGTGGATGTGATCGAAATCCGCATCTACTTGATCTAATCGTGTTATTCCCTGTATACGTTGCTTCTGTAATATTATGTGTTTAGTGAAGGTTAGGTCAAGTCAGTTTAATTCTGGCATGCAAAGAGCAGACGAAGAGGTTTCCGGAATTATTAAACCACTTACATCAACTTTGTCTTCGTCAGACCAATCGGTATTCCCAGACGATGCTTTATTGTAATGCACAATGGAGAGAAGCTCATTTGACCTTTAGGCAGCCTTATTGTGAAATGTGAATTAGATTCTTCTGACTACACATGTTCTGGTCTTTAGGCCACATTGTAGTAATGGGCAAAAAAAAATCATAAAGCACCTGCTCATATCCTTTCAGTGGAGATGAGTGATTAACCGACAACCTCATAAGAAGAAAACTTGCATGGTCTTTTATCTAACTGATTATGTACCACGAGCTTGCTTGTAATTTGAAGAATTTAATCACACAGGAAATTTGCTATTCCCGAACGTAAGTGTTATACCACGCCAGATTAGTTTCTGCTAGATCTTGCAAGCAATCTTTAAGCTTTCTACATATCGCTGAAATATAGTAGTTGTCAATTTTTATGTTATTTTTTACCTTACCTTTGGTGTCAATACAGTATGAATTCAATTAACAAACTGGCTACAACAACGTATTTCTGTATATTACTGACAACGAAACAAAATAAAAGGACGGACAAACACAGTTGACAAAACAAGTTTTCCCGTAAAACAAAAAAAAAAGGAGCAAAATAACAATATTGTATAATACAATCCAATGATCACCCGTAAAAAATAAACGAAAGCGAATTTCGGATATTTTAATTGCACAGTTTTTTTATTTAAATAAAAAACCAATGTTAAGTAACGCGTTGTCCGAAACTCCCCGATGAAGCTACTGACTTCTAGGAAAAGGTTTTCTTTCCGGATATACATCTCAAACAAGTCAGCCAAATATGGACTGAACATAGTAATGCTGTGTGATGTAGGTACCAAATATATGTTTATTACAGAATTTTATTTAAGAAAGGGAACTAAAACCAATGGACTACCTCTAGGAGAACCATAACCACAACCGTAACATAACCATCTGTTTACGTCAGTAACGCTAGAATCAGAGCTCTTAAAACCTCCTTACAATTTAACTATAGTTTGTACTCTACGGCAAAATAAAAGAGAAATGCCTCTTGAGATAATAAATCTCAAAATTCGTTAAATTTGCTTTTCCTTATTTTGTTTTGATGGTGAAAAATCAATGGTATTCTATAAGATAAAAATAAATAAGTCTGTGCTTCTTTTGTCGACAATCCACAAGGGTTTAGTAGAATGTGATCCAACTGGAAAGCCAGATATTAATAAATTTTATAATGCAACCAAGTACAGAGTACACATTTGACCAAATGTACAGAAACGTGAACATTTCCTCAAAAACAAGAATATGGCCTCTTTGCCTGTTCTATGGCATATTAAATATAGCTTGCATAAACTATTGGATAATTTATAATCATTACCAACAACGACAGCAGAAAAAGATCATCACCAGAAAAAAAATTATGGTCATTTTTTCTGAACAACTGACGAAATCTTGGCCACAGCATCGTGTAAATTGGCCAACTTTAAAACGGTCGGTAAAGTTGTTTATTAAAAATACGTTAAATCTGTAGTCGCGGCAAAACGAATATGCCATATTGTGTCAAAACGTGCCATGTGTCAATTTTTGCCGTCTAAAAAACGTCGAATGATAACCCATCATTGCCAGCACTGCCGACGTCCATCTTGTGATGAACATTGCGCCCTTTCTTGTCAGCAGTGTAGTTCTAAAATGTAGAATTTGTGACATTTTTGTGATTTTTAGATTTTAGAAACATCTCTTGGTTTAAAATAATTTGTAAAATTAAGATAAATAAAATATTTTTTTTGTGACTCATTTTTTTTTTTGTCTCAGCGTAGTAAATTGGTAAAGCGTAGTAAAATGGTTAGTGTAAATTAAGGTAAAAATAAGGTTAGTATTCTAGGCTTAAAGCGTGTTTTTCATTACTTCTGCTTTATCTTCTTGATAAATATAAATTGTAGAAAATTAATAGATGGAGTGAATACATAAGAGAATTATTTGAGGACAACAGAAATAACATTGTTCTGATATATGGCGAAACGGGACCTGAAATTCTAAAATGTGAAGTAGAAATGGCACTTAAAAATTCCAAAACTGGGAAGGCAAATGGACCGGAAGAGGTTCCTACCGAATTGCTAAAGCTCTTGAATGATGAATCAATAGGTATAATATTGCACTTATTTAATACAATATACAATACTGGTATTATACCTCAAGAGTGGCTGTTGTCTACATTCGTTACACTGCCAAAGAAATCTAATGCTAAAGAATGTTCAGAACATCGAACAATATCTTTAATGAGCCACCTACTAAAGATATTTCTACAAATTATCCACAACCGAGTTTATCAAAGTTGGAGTCAGATATTAGTAATACACAGATGGGGTTCAGAAAAGGGCTTAGTGCTCAAAAAGCTCTCTTCGGTTTGAATGTTCTCACACAAAGATGCCTAGACGTTCATCAGGAGGTGCATACGTGTTTTATCGATTTTGAAAAAGCGTTTGACAGAGTACGCCATGATAAGCTTAGAGAGATTCTTGAAAGGAAGGACATAGATAATAAAGATCTGCGAATAATTCTCAATCTATATTGGAATCAGAAAGCTAACATCAAAATAGAAACTGAAACATCACAAGCAATAGAAATACGTAGAGGAGTACGACAGGGTTGCATTTTGTCACCTCTGTTATTTAATGTATATAGTGAAAGCATCTGTCAGGAAGCCCTTTTACAAGCAAACGGAGGAATCGTAATTAATGGAGAGATTGTAAATAATATTCGATACGCGGACGACACTGTACTAGTTGCAAGAACAGTAGAAGAATTACAAAGATTACTTACAGACATAAATATTGCTTGCAACAATTATGGTATAAATATCAATATTAAAAAAACCAAGTATATGGTCTTCAGTAAAAACATGACACAACCAGCGTATATTAGTATAAACGGCACTCAAGTTGAAAAAGTATCAAGTTACAAATACTTGGGAACTTTAGTAAACGAAACTGGAGACCAAAACAGTGAAATAAAAAGACGTATCGAAATTGCCAGGGCCACCTTCATAAAGATGAGAAAATTCTTCTGCAACAGAAATATAAATCCCTCTACGATTAAGAATGCTGAAAGGCTATGTATTTAACACGCTATTACACGGTGTAGAGGCCTGGTCTCTCAAACAGAACAACATGAAAAATATTGAAAGTTTCGAGACGTGGTGCTACCGTCGAATGCTGAAGATTAGTTGGGTTGAAAGAATAACAAACTGTGAAGTAATACAAAGAATAGGAAAAGACCCAGAGATTTTGTTAACGCTAAAGCGAAGAAAACTCGAATATTTTGGTCACCTGACGAGAGGACATAAATACGCATTACTTCAAAATATAATGCAGGGAAAAATAGAAGGAAAACGGAATCCAGGCCGTAGAAGAATGTCATGGTTGCGGAATTTGAGAGAGTGGTTTGGCTGCACCACTAATGAACTCTTTAGGTCAGCCGTAAACAAGGTCAGAATAGCCTTGATGATTTCCAATCTCCAATAGGAGTGGCACAAAAAGAAGAAGAAGTAGGATCCAAGTACTGTTCTTCAGTTCTTTGATTTTTTTAATAATTTTTGGTGTCCTTTTATGTGTTTTGCATAAGAAACTGTTAACAGCATCTTTTTTCATTTTGAATCTAATTTTTATAAGAAATTTTAGAATTGGTTATAATACATAAGCTTTACCAACAATATTATTATTAATTTACGTAATTGACCAGCAGATTTAAAAAAAATAATATAAAAATAAAGAATAAAATAAATATCATTTAAAGGCATCTTTAAACTGGTTATCATGGATGTGATCTAAGAAACAAATAACTAACACTTTTGCAAAAAATATATATATTATACTGAAAGTATAAGGATAAAATATTTTTAAATATTAAAAAAAGAGACGTTTTACATAAAAATTTCCAAAGTTCTAGCAAGCTGCTTTAGGACAACAGCAAGACATACAACATTGAGTTGGACCCATACAAACTGGAGGTGCAACAGTATAAGAATTGGGACAAGGTACACAAGACTCATCATCATCGCATTCAATGTATTCACCTGGAGGTCCATAGCTGAGTCTATTAATTGTATTATCCTCCATTCTAAGTTTTGGTGGAACAAATTTAGGTTTTTCTGCCCAAGGCATTTCAATGCGCGCTGGTGGTTTCCAAGGCTGATACGACATTTTTTGTACAGTTTTGTCACTTATTTTTCCAGAAGGTGCAGGAATTGCATTAATAGGTCGTACGGGTACTACTTTTGCCTTTTCCAAATCCTGAGGCATATAAGATAATCTGTTTACAGTTTTATTGCTCAGTGGACAATCCGAAGAAAATAGATTTGCAAAAGGTTTAATTGGAACTGTCTTTACGGACGGCTTTGGTACATAGTCATGTTTATTCGTAGTAATATCTTGCATCGGTCCTGTTCCCAATAATTTGTGTTCACAGGGATAAATGGGACATGCCGGTTTAGCTTTATGTGGCTGGAAAGACATTCGGTTTACTGTATTATCTGATATCTTACCTTCACCAACACATAAATTGTTTTCCGGAATAATGACAACTGGTTTTTCTCCTTCGACTGGAATAAATGATTTTCTGTAAATGGTGTTATCTTCCATTTTGAGTTCAGGTGGTATAAATTTTCTTAGAGGTGCATAAGATTTTGGTCTTGGTGGTTGAATATACTTGCATCTTTTTGGCACTTTTTTTATTGGTGGAGTTCCCGAAATATTAACTGGCACACACACATTGCAGCATTTACTTGGTCCCACAATATTCGGTGGTGGACATGGTGAATATGAGTTTGTCTGACCTAGTAATAGAGGACCACATGGCGTACACGAGGCCATATTTACAATGAAATAGACAGGGACTTAAAATGAGATGAATCAATTTAGAATTATAGTTTTAAAACGTCAAAAGTAATGTCAATTCGTGACAACAAATTCGTATTTGTTTTCAGTATTTTAATAGTGTCATCTAAAATGATTATATGCCAAATTTTAGGCGCACTATAGTTGGAATATAAACTAGACCGATAATGAACATTTTAATTTTGTTTTAAACGACCTTATATGCAAATCACCTTTATTATGTTTATTAGTAATAACAATTTCTATTTTTACCATATTACATAGTAAATGATAATACTAAGATTTCATTAAATTTCTCATTAAGTCGAAATTGGTAATATACAGTGGCTCATAGCTTAGATGAGGCAGCCTCTACTCAATGAAACTAACTTGTGTCAGTGGCTCAATATTTATTAGAAAAAAATGACTATGAAATTAAATTACTGTAGGTCTTCTACAATAGCATAAGCTAGTTTTTGAGTTTCAGATATACCGGACTTAAAAAATAATAAATATTTAATTATTTTATGTATGAATTTGATGTCACAGCTAAAATAATGCAGATAAGATGAAACATTACACAACTTATCAATTTAAAATTTGCGAAGAAGACGTTGCATTAAACTCATATTGCAGTTCATTTCAGGCCTAATTTGATATTTAAAAGTATTTAATCGGTAAATAACAAAATTATTCAAGAATTGATCACCGAACTACGATTATTGAAAGAAATTTAATAATTAATCACCATAGAAATGGATATAGCCAAAGAGATATATCCAAAATGATAAATAACTGTTCATCAACAGTTCAGCACATAAAAGAGTTGACAATAAATCAAGGTTGCTCCAAATTAGATTCTGACCAAATGTGAAGAAAGATGGATTGTCAGAAAAATGGCAAATATTCCTTAAAAATGTCCACCAAAGTTGTGAGATGAGGTGGAAAGACAGTTTGGAAAAAGATGTAACCACAAACAAATTTGACCAATATTACGAAAGAATAATCGACATGGTCGAACTTATAGAAATAAACTTATTATATTATATTAATAATAAGCTTATTAGCCCAAGAAACAGGCGTATTAGATTTCAAAAGAGAGCATATTAACAAAGATTTGACCATTTAGAATTCTGATATATTTTGCCGATGAAACCCAAATAAACTTGTTTGGGTCCAATGGAAACATATCGATGTAGGGAAATCCGAATAAAGAAATAAAATTAAAAAACATTAATACTACGGTAGCTCTCGGTAAAGGTGGGGTCATGATGTGGGGTGGACGTCGTTCGCAGGCGTAAGTTATATGCATTTTATGTAAGGAAATATGAACCAGTACATGCATTTGGATATACTAAGGCAGCATCTTGCCGCTAGTGGTCAAAAATTAGATATTAATAACAATTACCGGTTCTATTAGCACAAATATCCAAAACACACGTCATATCGAGAACGTGCTTAGCTGCTTTATAATTGCCGAAATGTCATTCATCCCAGTCAACAGGTTTGAATGTTATTGAAAATGTGTGGTTGACATTAACAAATAAAGTAAATAGTGTCCCAATATCAAATAGAAATGAATTGAACGTAAAAATTACTGAAGCTTTAGTCACAACTTCCCCAGAGTCCACTAGAGAGTTAGTTGAATTAACGACTAGACGACTACAAGTTGTAATTGATAATAAAGGAGGATTAACAAGATATTAGCAATTATTTTTCAATGCATCGAGTTTGTTTTCTTCATTAATTTTCTGGTTTTAAAGTTTGCATCAGTTTAGCTGTGACATCAAAATCATCTAAATATTTATTGTTATTATTTAAGTATGGTATATTTAAGAAATACCGCCAAAAAATAGCTTATGTTGTGCTTCTATATAATTCTTATTACATCTGTAGTGGTACACATTCTTGTGTTAAAAGTATTAATTTAACATAATGTTTAACATAAATGTATTAATTTTATGAAGCGTACATTTGCGTTCGACCATTAATAATCAGTTTTTATTGTATATAAAATAGTTATATTTTAAACGAATCAGTAGCTAATGACCTGAATCATTTGATCTTTTGTTAATCATTTACAAAATCCTACGCAAACCTTCAGTGAAAAGAAGATATTTTTCATAAGTTCGTCAAGGTTAAATTTGATTTTAAGTACTTGAAATATAAAAGCACTTAAAACTCAGTATTGACGCTAAAAAATAAACGATGGTAGAAATCATAATTCATTTAACTAAATAAAAATGTTTACGAAAGAGTTATTTAAATATCAATTGGTTTTTATTCATTTAAATTATTAAATGTTATTGTAACGTACTGTATTATATATAAATTTATTTTAATACAAATTAACCTTACCACACAGCATTTATGAGTACTAACCAACTTTAGTGATTTAAATACATGGTACTCATGGAAATATGAAAGAACAACCTCAGAAACAAACATTTCATTTTTATGGGAATATAGTACAAGGATGTAGCGTAGTAAATTTTAAAATTTTATACACAAAAAATCGAAATTATACCTATTTTCCAGCTTACGTCCAAACTTAATTTAAAGTTTAAAGTAATATTTTTAGGCAGATCATCAAAAAACAACGAAGAGAAGCGAAAAATATCGTAATGAAGTGCACAATACATAAATGATTGACAATACGCATGATTTGCACGCGTACCCTATACATATACAGAACGTTAAATTTTGGATAAGATATTGCACACTACATAAATTTCTAAAACCGGCAGCATTCTTTCGAACTACAAGGCGCTCGTATGAGGTTGTTGTAATTCTCCGATCCTCTTTAACACCATGACAGAAATTCACTAACTCACAAAAATGCATAGGATGTACATCTTCTTCATTCGATGTTTGTTTTTATTACGTATACCCGGTTCATTTCCTAGATTACATAAACTAGATACAAATACACTGACCTTTATAAAGCGGTGCTTTTGTATCGGTTTTTATAATGTAAACAATTGTTTTTGGTTGAATTAAAAATACAAGCGTATTTGCTTACTAAGATAAAACAAAATGCTAAAATGTTTTATGTTCTACAGAAACGATTTAAATATTTGACGTTCTATGGCTAAACAGTACCCCAATATGTTATAAAAACTTTTGTAGACAGATGAATTGGAGACTTCTCTTATTCGATTCTTTAATTCATCCCAATTTTAGACTTTAACCTCAGTATAATTGTAGATGATGCTTTTATCCCCAAAAAAAGAAGTCCATTGTGTAAGATCTGGAGATGGCACAGGCCACTTAATATCGCCTGTTCCACTGATAACTTGATTCGGGAAAGTATTGTTGAAATACCCTCTAATTATTTAAGCGTTGTGAATTAAAGAGCTGTCTTGATGAAACCAAACATTCTTCATATTTACGTCAGGAATATTTAAAATAGCGGGAAAAACATGATTCTGTTACAAAACGAGGTATACTCTTCTATTCAAGTTGCCCTTATTAAAAAATGGACCTAATATGTGGTCTCCTAAAATGCTAGACCAGACGTTAACTTTTTGAGGATGTTGAGTTAGGTAAACAACACTTCTGTGCTGCTGTTCCCACACCTAATACCTCGTAATGAAAGGATTGAAAATATATTTTTTAACATGTAACTTGTATATGTATATTAACATATCTGATTTTTTTTATTTATTTATTATCCCCGGTACTAGCAAATAGAAGAAATAAAAAACCTTACATCATCATCTTCAAGTTCATTACCGCAAAGTTGAGTTCAAATACCCTGAAATTATTAAATTTCAATTGTAAATAAATGTGGTGAGTGTATACACAAACACAAAGAAGCGGTTTATATTGTTTGACTAATTAGTTGACTTATGAATATCTTAGTACTCAGTAGTTGGTTTTTATCTGGCTTACCGTTATTTTTATTGTATAAGCATCTGTTTATAAAAACTGTACAAATAAAATACTTATATATTTACTTACGTCATATTTCTAATCTTTTATGTATAAAAAGGTTAGACCTGGAATCAATAATTTGGAAAAAACTCCAGTTATTTTCAAATACTGGCTACTGTCCTACTGTTATTCAATATTTTTCCTAACCAATGATTTTTCATATAAATAATTTAAAATCACTCGCATTAACGACTATTGGACCATTAGCGACATTTTCATTAAGGTACAAAATTACTTAGTTAATTTACAATATATGTATAAAAGACATGAGTTTCTTTAAGGAAATTTACAATATTGTCTATGATACAATTTTCGTATAATAATGTTTATAATAGATCGTCGGAAAGATTATTGTTGCAATTTTTTTACATAAATTTTGTATAGTTTAATAATTTTTTTACATTTTAGAGATCTAAACGTAATTGATCAAGTCTAACTTGGTTGGCCCTATTTGTGTTGTACTTCTTCCACATGTTTATAAATGGTTTAATTTCTTGTTAATTTCGATTGGGAGTTATCCCGTTCACTTTGCCACTTACACTTGATTTTTGAATTAATCACTATTGTAATGTTATTAGCAATCACTTTACTAATTATTGTCTACTTTTCCTTGTGTGCTGCATCTGTAACAAAGGAATCTGCTTCCTCAAATATCTATATACGATGAAACCCAAAGTATTACAATGTATCTGTTTTTTGCTGTAAAATATCTAATTCAGTTTGGAGTCACAGATAACTACTGTCTTACTATAATTGTTTTTTTTTATAATCATTAGTGCTTGTAAAATGAACAGTATGAAATGGTTCTAATTTTAATTAGTGATGTTTAACTAAGTGTCTGAAGTTTTAAAATGTATGAAAAATATATTGTCCAGAGTCGAATTATGTCGAATCCTTTCATTGTAGAGAATACTTTTACTTTTATCTAAAAGAAGTTCGGTGAAACGATTAGTTTCAGTGTTATGTATGACAGAACTATTTAAATTTGATAGAAGTGGTAACTCTCCTGTTAAACATTGAAGACTACAGGCGATGTTCGAAAAGCTCCTGTAATACTTCTCAATGCGGCATTTTGAATTATCTCGATCTTTTTATATTTTGTAGCTAGCTGATGTAGACACCATGGAAATATAATCGATTTTTGTTCGTATTAGTGATTTG